GCAATTCAAAATTTTACGTATGGTCGTCATTCTCTATCTTCAAGGATTTGGACTAGACAAGAACCGACCCACTTGCTTTCTTTTTATCGAGCACTTAGTTTTTTTGTCTGTCCCAGTACTATATAAAACTAAGGCATTACAAAGTTTGACCACTTATATTATTTACGGGTCTATTTAAATAACCTGTTAAACTTATTGACAGTCCATCAAAGACTACTAGTAAACAGAGAATAATATTTCTCCGTTATAATTATGTTTTAAAAGAGTTTCATTGCTAACAGTAACAAAATTAATTGATATCATAATCGGTATTGGCTCTGTTCACATGAACTGATAAGAGTGTTGTGAAAGTTTGATCTTGTACCAATCCTAGCTTTTGTAAAGTCTCTCATTTACATTACGAACATTAAACCACCAAATTTTTTGAAACACATGATAACACATTAATGTTATCGCGACTATGCAGTAAGCACACATCACACACGTATATTCATATGCAGTCATGTACCTAGATACTAATTACATAGGCTATATTATTATTATATCTATTATATGTAGGTAAAACCTTCCTCATATACGCACCGTTTGACTTTGATTTAGCAATTGAGTTGAACGAAGCTAAGAATCACGCAAAATATTGCTTACAGAAACTTTTCTAATTGGTCCCTATTGTTATTATTATTTTGGTCCCTATTATTTTATATTTGCACGCTAGACCAGAGATTAAATTTCTTTTTTTTACGTAAAACATTTTATATTTAACGAATCTGTGATGCGATACTAATTATTTTAGTCAGTCCAAGGTGTGAATTCTCGACCTTTCGTTTTGACGTCATTTCAATATGTTTAAGAATTTATAACTTCATCAAGAAAAACGTCTTCGGTCTTTTTTTTTAGTGTTTTGGTTTCATCTTCGATCGGTTATAAACCTATAATCAAGTAAGTAAATAGTACCATAATCGATTGCTCTGAATTGACAAAAAACCTAGAATTAAATTTATGATTTCATGCACAACGGACTATTCGTTTGTTATCTATTCGAAGTCTACGAACTCAAAGAAAAATTCGTAAGGGTTATCTTCGTTTGAAGTATTCAAGAATGTGTAGAAATTAAGAATAAGTCCACATAATATATATCTAAGACTGATACGCATCACATTTTAAGAACATTCAATACAAGAGAAGACATTATATAATGTTTACTAAATCAATTTTGTATCCGTTTTCTTCTCTGAATGATTCTTTTCATGATGACCAGCTGTATTTTATTACTGCTATATTTAGAATGTAACTTTCTTGAAAAATATTAAAATGTTCAAAGCTATGAATTACAAAATGACAAAAAAGGAAACTAGCTGTTGATCTCAATTCAATAAGGAGATTAGTACTATAAAATACACTATAAAAGATGTGAGTTCGTAGGTTTTTAATATTTTTAAATTTTTTATGTCGACATAAACCTATTATCTTGTACTTTTTAGCAGCTATCCCAAAGTAATTTGCAATAAACTTTTCCAGCTAGTGTCGTAGTTATGCAAAAGTAGAACATTTCCATTACCATCAAACTTTCGTGTAAACGATAGACTAACCAAGAAGAAACTCAGTTTCATCCCAATGCAGCAAACACATGATGTATTCATAATAAAATATATAATAACCTCTACAAGAGATCCACCAAAATTTAAACAAGAGATGAAAAAGTACAGAGTCTATATGAATCCTAATTTCAATTCCCTAAAAGCTAGTGTTTCTGTTTTGAGAGTTATATCAGGAGAAAAAAACCTCTAGATGGTGTCAAAGGTTCCTTCTTACGAACCCTCAGCCTTTTCGTATTGCGGAAGTTCTGGAGGCGGAGGTGGCTTTTGTGATTTGTTGTTGTTCAGTAAGTTTTTCGCATATAAAGACCCGAAAACGATGACCTGATGGAGTTAACACAGTTAGTCAAAGAATCAAAAATATATTGGAGTGCCTAAGTTTTTTAAGGATCTAATGGTTCAAGCTCCAAGAGAATCGAAAAATATACCGATCCTATACACTGCTCCCAGCTAAGAGGATGAGAGAACCAAATGCAGGAGAGCAAGATGCTTGCAAGCTTTATTAAGAAGGATTAGAAACAGATCATGTTAGCTTTTCAGATAGATTAGGCAGATTGAGATCGGGTTTCTTTTTTACCTGTCTCGTCGTCATGATTGCAGCGAATGTTAGAGCACCAAATGTCCTAATGGTGTAAGAAATGAAAAACTGGCTCGCTGTTGCAACCTACACATTAGTCTCCGGAAAGTTCAGTTGGAACCAAAGAGACAAGAGAGGATAATTGTATCGTGAGATGTCATTGAAACCTTTTGTTTAGATTACAAACTAAACTCGAATTCTGTTTCATGATTTATACATGCTATCTTGTGGACCTACAAAAGTGTAATCAGACTAATTTGAACGACGCATGACTATGTAGAGAAATTAGAGGAAACTTAAACTTACTGTGGAAAGCAGAGCGATGTCGAATAAACAATCTCTATGCCGAGAAACAAAATCTACAGCTAGTAGTAAATGGCCTTGCAATACAAGTCCTACAAACATACAAAAAATATAATGATAAGTAGAGAGTATGATTGACCAGATTATGATCTTCTTTGTGAGGTCTAAGCACCAAGGTTTATTTTGAAGAAACGAATTGAGAAACACGTTCAGAAACAGAGGAAGCTTAGGAAAAGTTGCGACTAGTTACATGTTGATATCATTTACATGACACAACTCCAGTCTATTATTCATCAGCATAAGCTTAAATCCGGTGTCTGCAGATGTCTAATAGTCAAAATAATTAGAGCTTGGCTATAATCAATAAAAAAAAAGAGAAAGAACGAGGATAAAATTCTTCGTCCTATAGAATCTTCTTGTGGAAACCAACCCGAAACGAACCAATGGAAAAAACTCAATGGTCCATCCAGAAAAAAATGGCAGTGATAGACTAAGATCAAAATCTTACAGTAAAGATTGCAGCAAAGAGTAAGATTCTCACCAGTAAAACTCAGAACACAAGAGCAAAGTGTTGTGTAGAATATTTGGTTATGTATCTCCATATTATATCCTTTAAAGAGTTTGTCTTGGAATGTGCTTGTAAAGCCATCAAACCTGTTAGTCAACCAATTACCAAATAACAAAATCACGATTCTAGACTCGTGGGCAGTAAGAACAAAGTATGGAGATTCCTAATTTTTTAAAACCAGACAGCAAAACCTCAGTGTAATCGCATAAACACGGATACACTTACCCAAGATAACCAGCCATAAGGGAAACACCCCAAACTGTATTTTCCCGTCCCTTATTGTACGGACTAATATCATCTCCTGCCTACAGCTCATCATCACATAATCAAACATCAGTAAATCTTACCTTGATGTACATGGTGATTGTGATACTCTTAACTAACTGAAGCCTTTGAAATGATTGACAATGAGTATAGATTAGATTTATACCGGAAAAAGAATAAAGACAGAGCAGCCAAGGGTCACCAGAAAAGCGACTAAATAGTCAAATCCCTTGTACTTCTTCTGCATGATGAGAGTTCCCCATACCTGTACAAAGCACATACATTAGAACGGTGATGCTAAACTCAAATGCATGAGTTTACCAAAATAGAATGTTACAACTTACCATTACTGGTATCATTTTGGCACATTTTGCAAGAGTTTGGACTGGGAAGCTCACATACTTGAGAGCCTGGAGGCATTACAGATAACAAAAGAATAACTACAAAAACAAGTTCTTGTAAGAATGGAAGTGAAGGACAAATCACACAACCCCTACCTCATATTGGCATGTAGTGGTTAAGATATTAGTCACTGAAATAAGGCAATACTTGTAAACCGGAGCTACAGGATCCAAAACTTTCTTGCTTGCCTACAAATACCAAAATCCAAATAGGATTCTTATAAATTTGGCAATTAAAAGTATGAATATAAACACAAGTTGGGGTTTTTAGCTGGTTGTACCAGTAAAGCACCAGCAGAAACAGCTGATGTAGTGAGCCGATTGCAGAAAACAAGAAACAAAGAGTACTTAAAGAATTCTTTGTTCAATCCATAAGGAACTCTCATTATCTTCTCCTACAAATTACAAGAAAAAACCCACAAAGAAATTTATAAACTTTAACTAAAATTCCGTTGAAATCTCACAAGAAATGGTAACAAGACAAAGCCAGCAGACCTGAAGAACACCATAGATTACAAGAGTAGACATAATGCCTGAAACCGCGAATACACCTTTCCATAATTTGTTCTCCTTCACTCCATTAACTGATTCCGGCTCAGCCATGGCCTATCACACTTCTCACAAAACTTCACTTTTTGTCTGAATAACACAAAACCTATAAAAAAATTAACCAAAAGGAATCACATAATTCAAAGCTCCGATTCGAAATGTAAGCCTGCAAAATTAAACCTTTCAAATTCGCCAAACGGACTGATACAATACAACGGTCGATCTGGTGAGATCGGCGAAATATGTATCTTCTTTCTGAGAAAAATTAGCCGGAAAGAAATTCTCCGGCAACTCTCCGTCTCGATCCGATTTGCTTTCCTTTTTACCCTTTTTTTAAGTTCAGTTGGTTGGGGTTTTCTAAGGATCCGCCACGTCAGCACTTGAAAAATGCACTTGTTATTAATTACTCCGAATAAAAAAACGAGTCAAAACCTTCCAAACGAGCCAGAGGGTTTCCGTTTGAAGGAACTCAAAGGTTGTTGGTTCCAAACTGAGTGTTGTCATCAGTACGATGATGATGGGTAATGACAAAACAAAAGAAAGAAGATAAGTCCTGATCTAAAACTCGTGGTCGTGATTTTTTGTTTTTGTTACATCCTTGGAACAATGTCTGATTTTGTTTTTCTAAATTTCCAAATTCGGGTACGAAAAACAACCCAAAGGAGACGTCGAGAAGCAGCGAATCGTACGAAGAGATATATATGTTTGTTTTCATGTTCTATCCTCTGTACTTTATCCAGTAGATGGATTCTGTTTTATCTCCTCGCATCTTTCTCGCACAAAGCTTCATTAATTCAAGGTTTGATGATAAAAGTTTCATCTTTGTTATGGGTTTCTCGGTATTGTCTCGCTGAATACATTGGATCGTATAGGTCGCCTAGGTTTGCTGCTACTTGCTGGAGATGGGTTAGTACGTCTTCATGTTGGGATATCAAAGCTACTGGGAATAGTGATCGCAACGTGTTCGATGAAAGTCCTCTGAGAGGATCTGACGAGTCGTTGTTTGATTCTGCTTCGTTCGAGACAGTTGACGCGGAAATCACTCCCGAAACTGTTGATTTCTTCGTGAGCGATGCAGAGGGTGATCCAGATTGTCCTACTCAAGGCTATTCCTCTATCGAACTTGCTCTTCAAGCTATACGCAAAGGAAAGGTTTGTTCTTGAAACTTTTTCTTGAAGACCATAGATTATCTGTTTTTTTTTAGTTGTATGGATTCATTTCTTTCTTAATTTTCAGTTTGTGATCGTTGTTGACGATGAAAACGGGGATGTTGAAGGGAATCTGATCATGGCGGCAACTCTAACGAGTCCAAAAGACATAGCCTTTCTAATAAAAAATGGCTCTGGGATTGTCTCAGTTGGGATGAAGAAAGAAGACCTCGAAAGATTAAAGCTTACCCTGATGTCACCTGAAATGGAAGATGAAGATTCCTCCGCACCAACTTTCACTATCACCGTGGTAACTATTTCCAAAATCAGATATAATCATCGTTTTTTTCACAAGAAGGTTGCTTCTGATGAGTTCTTGGTTAAAGGATGCGAAATCTGGGACATCAACTGGAGTATCAGCTTCAGACAGGGCGATGACGGTTCTTGCGCTTTCGTCTCTCGAAGCTAAACCAGATGATTTCAGGAGACCAGGTCATGTGTTCCCTCTCAAGTACAGAGAGGGTGGGGTTTTGAGGAGAGCCGGACACACTGAAGCTTCAGTGGATCTAATGGTATTGGCTGGTTTACGCCACATCTCTGTTCTTTCAGCTATTCTCGATCAAGAAGATGGGTCTATGGCCTCGCTTACGTATATGAAAAAGCTTGCTTCGGAACACGACATTCCGATTGTATCCTTGACTGATCTAATCAGGTAAGACAAGGTCAAGAAAATGTATTGAGAAAACTAACTCTTGGAAAACTAGTAAATTGACTAAACTCTGGCTAGTTTGATATACTTGTAGATATCGAAGAAAGCGAGAGAAGCTTGTGGAGAGAATCACGGTGTCTCGTTTGCCTACCAAATGGGGTCTTTTCGAAGCTTATTGTTATCGATCTAAACTCGATGGAACCGAAAATATCGCTCTCGTTAAGGTAAATCAAACACCACATGTTTCTGAATATGTAAAAGCGTGTTAGATCAACTCTTAATCAATTTGGATTTTCTGTTGTTTCTGTCTGAATCCTAACCAGGGAAAGATTGGAAACGGCGAGGACATTTTGGTACGAGTGCATTCAGAGTGTTTAACCGGAGACATTTTTGGTTCAGCACGGTGTGACTGTGGAAACCAATTGGAGTTAGCCATGGAGCTAGTCGAGAAAGAGGGAAGAGGAGTCGTTGTGTACCTCCGTGGCCACGAAGGAAGAGGCATTGGCCTTGGTCACAAGCTTAGAGCTTATAACTTGCAAGACGAAGGACACGACACCGTTCAAGCCAATCTTGAACTTGGTCTAGCCATTGATGCTCGTGAATACGGTATCGGTGCTCAGGTCAGCCATATTGGATCGGTTCCGTTTCAGTTTTGGATTTACAGTTTTGGTTTAATCGGTATGAAGAGTTCTGTTATCTAATTAGAAACAAATTCTATGGTCAAAATGTAGATTCTTAGGGACATAGGAGTGAGAACAATGAGACTGATGACGAACAATCCGGCCAAGTTCACTGGACTGAAAGGGTACGGACTCGCCGTAGTTGGGCGTGTGCCGGTGGTGACACCAATCACCAAGGAGAATAGAAGATATATGGAAACCAAACGCAAGAAGATGGGTCACATTTATGTCTCTGATATCGATGATCAGCCGTTGGCTTGACCTTTAGAAGATTGTTTAACTTATGAATTTGTAATCTTGGTTGATTCATTTATTTACAGTGGCAGAGAAATTCCTCTTTTATAGTAGAGAGAAATCTCTTAATTAGACTTTTATAGAATGAATACACGACCTTGTGTTATGAAATAACATCCGTAAACTACACAAACTCTTTTACGATCCTCTGGCTGATTAGACTGAGTGAATATTTCAGACATTCATTTAGTTTCAATTGTAGTTTTTGTATTAGTGTTAGTTCTTTGATTACGGACTGAATCATGTAGCTTTGGTTACGTTCATCTATTCATTGATTTGTATTCGTGGAATGTGATATCATTCTCTGTTAGATAGGATAGATCCATGCTCTGTCTTCTGGTATATAAATGAATTGGTTAGTGTTTCTTAAGAGTAGTTAGCGGATAATAGTTTGGGATTATCATGTGAACAAGTTACCAAAATGTCACCATGGTTTCCTCTCTATTGATTAAGCTTTGATAATCGATTTGCATCTGCAGGTGAGAAGAAGACTGATCCTAATGAAAGGTGAAAAATCAGTGAAATCAGGTACAACTTTGAATAAGAAGGCCAAGAAGATAAGAACAAATGTCACATTTCACAGACCCAAGACATTGACAGCAAAGGAACCCTAAATACCCACGGTGTTCCAAGAAACAAGCTTGGCCATTACCAAATCCTTT